TTTTTTCCTCTCTCTCCCTCTCTCTCTCTCTCTCTCGCTCTCTCTCTCTCTCTCTCCCCCCTTCCCTGCCTCCCTCCCTCCCTTTCTCCTTCCCTCCCTCCCCCTCTCTCTCCATTCTATAAACTTTGCTCTACAGCTAGATTTATACTTAATAACATATCATGGAAGGAGCATAGACAGCAGCCCCCTTCGATGATATCATACTGGGCCATGGCAGGAATGTGCCAAATGCACAGCAGTAGCCTGGGTTTCTATCCCTTCACCCCATGACTCTTTCCTGGTCCAGTTCCTGCGTTTCTCTGGGACAGGGTGTAATCCCAAACTGAGGGGACGAGAACACCTCTGCATTTTCATGAAGACCATTCTGCAGCTTGCTTCCCCCAGGCTGAGGCAAGTCACATCCCTCCCAGCAACTGCTCAGACATGCTTTCCTGCCACAGCCCAGCTTCTGACGGGATGGTTTTGCATGGTTTGTGTTATAGCACAGGGCCTTGAATTACCCCCAAGGGAAACCAGGGCCCAGAGGGGAGCATAGACCACAGAGTAGGGCTCTGCAGCCCCACAGTCAGCCTGGCACACAGGCTTCACCACCCCCAGGCCCAGCATGCATGCACACACACACACATGCAAACACACATGCGTACACACTCACACACATGCAAACACACATGCATACACATGCACACACACACACACACACACGCACATGCACGCACACACACCCTCCCAGGCCCACCTGCTGCAGAAGCTGGATTTCCTGTTGCTTGGCGTTGAGGACAGCCAGGGCTTGCTCATGCTCCAACTCCAGCTGTTGCCGCCGTTCAGCAGCCTCTCGCATATGCTGTGGGGACAGGGAAGCCCCTGAGCACCTGCTGCCCACCAGCACTCACAATACAGCCCGCTTTCTCTCCCTTCCACCTCCCCCGGGAGTGGCACAGCACCCACCTCCTGTCTGCTGCATCCTAGGCTTTTCCACCAGGAGGCAGAGAGATTGGGAAGCCCTAGTCCCTAGGCACCCACCCCTGCTTTGGCTGTCTATATTTGCAGCACAGGAGCTCTGGCAGAGCTGCGGCTCAGGCAGAGGGAACCTCCTCTTCCCCCACGTGGCGTGGGAAGGCGCTCACTCCTCTCCCTCTGCCTTTGTCAGGTATTTTGTAAATAGCAGACAAGGCTCATATATGTTCCTGCCAAGCTGAAATGTTTCCAGTTTCTTACCTTCATCAAAGTCACATGACCATTTATTAACATTGGAGGTAAATGCTATAATGGTCCTCCTTCTACAGAGGGGAAACTGAGGTGCAGTCACACACGTCTGGTAAGTGCACATCTATCCAGAATCAACTCCAGAGTCCACACCCTCCACAAAGTCTGAGTCCCAGGTCCCCACCCTATCTGCTGGCTGCATCCCTTGAGTTTGTCCCTCAGGGAGGGTCTCAATGAATGACGTGGCTTCTCGCCTAGAGATCACCCAACCATCCTCTTTGGAAAGACAGAGTTCACATCCTCAGAGTTCAGGATCTAATGCTCACCTTTGACCTCTGATTACCACACCCCCCCCAGACCCAGTCAGGAGAACCAACAGAAGCCTCAGAGGCTTCAAGACCCAAGTACTGTCACCGTGACCAACCACAGCACATATGTGAGGGAGAAGGTATGAATGAGGTGCTCCATGGGGCGGAGACTCTCAGGTGCAAAATGTTCAAGTTTAATTTTTACTTCTTTATATTTTTATATTAAGAAATGTACATAAAAGATGACTTTGTGGTCCCTTGTTTTAAAAGCTTGAATCTTGTGTGTGTGTGTGTGTGTGTGTGTGTGTGTGTGTGTGTGTGTGCAGTGTGGTATATCCATGTATGTGCACATGTGTCTCCAGGTGCCAGTACTTTTATGTGCACCTGTAGAGTGCAGAGGTTGATACTGGGTGTCTTCATCTCTCGATCTCCATCTTATGAGACAGGGTCTTTCACTGACCTGAAGCTCACCAATTGCCTGGACTTCATATACTAAAAGCACTTTGCTCTGGGGCTAGAGAGATGGCTCAATGGTTAAGTGCACTGGCTACTCTTGCAGAGAACCCAAATTCAGTTCCCAACACCCACATGGTGGCTAACAACTGTTTGTAACTCCAGTTCCAGGGGATTCAATGCCCTCTTATGATCTCTGCAGGCATTGCATGACAGATACACTTATATACAGGCAGACAATACATGCATACCCACAAAATAAAAATAATAAATAAAACTTTTTAATTTTATTTATTATTTTTATTTTATGGGTATGTATGTATTACCTGCATGTAGGTAAGCACACCCGTCTCATGAAATGCCCACGGAGGTCAGAAGAGGCTGTTGGATTCCCTGGGACTGGAGTTATGGACAGTTGTTAGCTGCTACGTGGTTGCTGGGATTTAAACCCAGGTCTTCTGCAGAACAACCAGTGTTCTTAACCACTGAGCCATCTCTCCAGCCTCAAATAAAACATTTTTAAAAGCACTTTACCCACTGAGACATCTTCCTAACCCATTAAAGCTCGAATTTTTTGCTTACAAGTCCAAAGTCTTTCCAAAGTGGTAAGGTTTCACCACACACCACCTGGGTACCACGGGTAGAAGCAATCCCAGCTGGCCTCCCACCTGAAATCATCCCTGCAGACCCTCTACCCTCCATGCCTTGTCTGAGGGTCAAAAACATACCCATGTTATCATGAAGGGACATGTTGGCATGTGGGGCAGAGACCCAACATGGCTTCCTTCCTGTTTGGCTTGAACTAGTTGATGGTTTATTATAATTTATTTTGAATTTTGCAATTTTATTGAGTTTCATTGGGGGAATTTTTACTATTTTTACTTTAAGTTGAGATTATTTATTTATTTATTAAGTCAGAATCTCTTAGGTAGCCAGGCTAGGCAAGAATTTATGATCCTCCTGCCTCAATTTCCAGAGTTTTGGGATAACAGATATGTGTCATCATGACAGTTTTGTGTTGGGTCTCTAGCCCAGGCTAGCCTGGGACTTGCCATGTAGCCCAGGATGACCTTGAACTCCTGACCCCCCTGCATCCACCTCTCCAGTGCTAGCATGACACGCATGCATATGCCACCACACTTAGTTTATGAAGTACTGAGGATTGAACCCAGGGCTCATGTATTCTGCCAAGTGAGATAAATCCCCAGCCCTTGGTGTCAAGGTTTAAAGGATTTCAGCTTTTAGGAGTCATGAGGTGAGAGGCAGGTCTCGGGGGAAGTGAGAGATACTGTTATCTGGGCACCCCCACCTTGAGCCACCACAAGTTCCATTCTCCTCAGAAACATCTCAGAGCCTTGTTTGTCATAATGGGACTGGAATCCAGATCCTCTTGCATGCTAGACAGGTGATCTACAGCTGAGCCACACCCCTAGCCTCTGACTAGGGGATTCTAGGCAGGTGCTCTACCACTGAGCCATGCTCCAGCCACTCACTTGGGTGAGCAAGTTCTCTGCCTGTGAACCACAGTCCTAACCCCTCAGTGGTGGATTCTAGTCAGGCACTCTACCTGTCATCAAGCCAGTCCTCCAGCCTGGGTTGGGTCATTTTAATGGGGGCTGGGAAGGCCTCTGTTTTCACTTTATGAAGGGCTTCAGCTGGTTTGTGAGCCTGGAAAAGCGAAACCTTTGCAAGGTACAGTGCTCAGGCACAGTGACCTCTGCACCCCCTCTGCTGTCTCCATAAGTCACTCCCAGGGAACCCCAGAGCTGTAATTACCCTGCACCTCCACAGACAAAAGTGGTGATTTCACTGTTGCTATGGAAACTCACGGGAACTCAGGATGCTGGTAAAACAGAACTCCCCAGATATGAGCGACCCCATAAGACATGAGCATCAGGGCAGTTACTGTGACCTTTCACACTGGGTCTAGAACATTTCCTCCAACTGTACACAGGACAGACAGACAGATGATACCACATAGCCTTCCATGGTATCCAAGAGATTTTTCCAGAACCTCAAGGACACCAAAGCCCTAGCCACTCGGGCCCCTTGCACACCGAGACACAGTGATGGCTTGTAACCACACACTTCCTCAGCACCCTTCCCACAGTTTCTAGATGACATATAACATCCAGTGCTATGTAAATAGTTACATTGTATTTAGGAAATAAGAAAAAAAATCTGCACACTTTCAGTACAGGTGCAAGTTTCAGGACATTTTCAATTCATGGCAGCTGAATTCTTGGAGAGTTCGGACTGAACCTTGCCACCTGCTCCACTGTTAAGCACTTTAGGTCTGGCTGCCTTGCATGGAGTCCTCCTTCGAACCAGTCTTGACATATAGCTGGCTGGTCCTGCCTGGCTGTGGCTGTCACTTAGGGCCTAGTGACTGTCACCTTGGACCTAGTGACTTCTCATGGAGTCTACAGTAGCCTTCACTGCCCTTCTGCTTCAACATGATATTCTCGACCAGCAATGCACAACACAAATCATTCTTACAGTCATGAGGCATGGCAGATGGACCCCCAGCAGAATCCCTGTAGATGTCCATCAGAATTCTCTGGGCTCCTGAAGAGCTCTGGGACTCTGTATGTTGGTTACCAGCTCTTGACAGAACATTTAAAGGAGGAAGGATTCATCTGGCTCATGGTTGCAGAGATGTTAGTCCATTGTGAAGGAGAAAGCAAGGTGATGTATGGCTCTATCTGTACAAGGGGTCTTCACATGGCCCAGGCTAGAAATCAGAGAATGGGACCAAAAGCAGAGTGGGCTCTAGCCTTCAGAGGCCCACAGTGGTTCACCTTTACCAGCTGGTCTCCACCTCTTAGCAGTTCCACAACCTCCCAGAACAGGGCCACCATCTGGGAACCAAGTCCTCAAGCATATGAGAGGCATTTCACACCCAAACCACAACCCCAAACACTGACTACTGGTCAGTGAAGTGACCACGGACTTTGCATAGCCCCACAAGTGAGGCTATGGCTGTGTTGGTAAGATGATAGCGGGAACTGAGACACAGGCAGGACCAGTCACAAGCCAGTGTCTGCCACATCCACATGCTATCTCCCTTAATACTAATTCGGGTGATGCTGTAGTCACTACTTGACAGCAGAAGCAGAGCGGCCAGCCTAGTTGCTTAACACCACACAGCTAGAACACAGCAGAGTCTGGTCGTCATCTGAGAATGTGGAAGCACAAAGCCAGCACACCCCTAATCATTGCTGTGGTCATCTCACAAGAGGGGCTGGCCAGCATCCACAGACTCCCACTCCACCGACCCCATGCAGACCAGCCACCTCACAGCTGTTTAATTGTGCTATTATTCTGGCTAATTTCTGCGCTTCTGTTTATTTTGGAAATGAGTGATGCTAAATGCAGCCTGGGCGCTCTTTATTTAGTCCAGGGAAGGAAGTGATTAGCGAGAGGAGGAGACCACACTCCTCATGAGGGAGAAATGTTAGCCTAATGCAGACATAGCTCCAGGTGCAGAGTTGCAGGCTGCAGGTCCCTAGGGGTTGCAGGAGAAACAGACCCATAGGCTTCCTGCTAGGAGGCACAGAGCTGATGACTCTTGCACCGGGAGGTGCTTTTTCCTCCCTTGAGTTGATGAGCATTGGCAGATAGGCATAAGAGGACTGGAGAGACAGCTTGATCAATTAAGGTGCTTGCCTCAAAAGCATAAGGACTGAGTTCAGTCTTCAGACCCCTTGTCAAAAGCCAAGCTCAGTGGTACATGTTTGTAATCCCAGTTCTGGGGAGGTAGAGACAGGCAGATGCCTGGGGTTCACTGTCCAGCCTGGACTAATCAACAAATTCCAGGTCAGTGAGAAAGCCTGTCTCAAAGAAAAAGTAGACAGCCAGGAGAAACAGCACCCAA